CCCATCTCTTCTAGCAAGTTCTTCAACCATACTAGTTCACATGTGGTATGAGCCATAGCCCTGTACTCAGCTTTTGTACTACTTCTTGCCACCACTGTTTGTTTCTTGCTCTTCCAAGTTACAAGATTGCCACCAAGGAAGGTACAATACCCTGTAGTTGATCTCTTGTCTGATATAGAACTAGCCCAATCAGCACCTGTGTACCCTACTATCTCAAGGGTCCCTCCACTCCGATATAGCAAACCACGACCTGGAGCACCCTCTTTAGTCACCACGAAACCAGATCTGTCCGAGAGAGAGGAATGCTCTACAGACTCAATAGATGTCCTCTTAAGACGGGCAAAAATTCTTCAAGTGAGGGAAGAGTAGAGCACCCCAGTATTTGTGCTCGGACGGGCTCATACTCAGCCTTCAAGCCCACCAGAAACCTTGTCACATCAAGTTGTTCACGCTGTTGTTGTTGAATTTGAACATCCGATGTTAGAGGATGATACACATTGAGCTCATTTCAGATATTTCTCAGACTTGCATAGTATTCCTCCAAGCTTTGACTGCCTTGCTTCAGATTAAAGTACTCTTGGTACAACTGATACACCCTAGTTGTATKGTCTTGTYCGGAGTAYAGYTTCTTARCATGATCCCAGATTTCTTTAGTTGTATCTAGGAACATAAAGTTCACACTAATTTTTGGTTCCATGCTATTCCATAGCCATGTCATTATCTGTGCATCTTCCTGTTCCCAATCACTGGACCCTGGAGAATCAGAGGAAGGTTTCTCCTCTCTCACATGTTTTACCCTTCTCTTGGCCTTTAAGAACACTTCCACAGATTTTGCCCACAACACATAATTCTCACCATTCAACTTAATAGATGTCATTTGAACATTTAAGTAGTCTGGAGAAAGCACAACGCCGGTTTTGTTGTCATTCCCATCACCAATCGATGCCATCTTAACTAATTCACCTTCMAATATGCAACACAACCTCAYGCACTTCCACAAAACTTATCTCACTYTCAGCACCACCAACTTCTTCAAATACACATTGCACATAAAATACTAAAGCTGAAATCACTCAGTCATTACATCAAACACCTGTACTGCACACTGCAGAACCATTCACCCACCAAATATAAGGGCTGAAGTCACTTACTCATTAAATCAAACACTTGTACTGCACACTGCAGAACTATTCTCACACCAGAAACAAGGGTTCACTTTTAAATATTCAAAATCATCGATACACCATTCAACACAATACAACTACCACCACACCACTGCTGTTGTGAACTTCAGCAGTCGAAAAAGCCCTACTTTCAGCACACACATGAGGTAAAAACAAAGAAAAACAGGACTGATATGTATACTAGTCACTCCAAACTTCCACAAGGAAAAATTTTGAACCAAAACACAGCATTCACAATCCACTACTTGGGCAAAAGACAGCACTGTTCATACCTGTCCACAAACAGCCCTCTTCGCATCACAGAATAGAGGGCGTCTAGCACATCACTTCAACGACCACCACCACAGTAACTGGAGGCATACTCACCTCCAAAACCACAAAATGACGACTCCTTTCTGGCCCCTTGTCGAGCTTCCACTCAGGCTAGCAGAAATTTGAAGAAGGCTGAAATAGTTGGCGGCGAACCCAGGAAGAAGACAGCAGCAAGGAAGAATGAAAGGAGAACAAGGTTTTACTGCTCTGCTACCATGTAAGAAAACCCTATTCGATTCTAGATTAAAGTAGAGAAGAAGAAGAAGAAGAAGAAGAGTTCGGCCAGATTAGGAAGGAGAAAAATCAGTCCTCCCTAGCCGACCCACTTGTATTTATTTCAAATAATAGAGTTACAAGAAAGACCATATTGTCCCTCATGAAAGATGGGACACATAAACTTAAATAAAATAGACCTTTCACTCTCAAATAGATAAACCAAAATGACCAAAATACCCCTGATTCGTGTATTCTAACATCTTTATTCTTAAATTTAGGCATCATATTGTTGTTTCTCCAATCATTAGGCATCTTCTTTTTTCCCTATCTTGTTAAATAGATTGGTTAGCCATAACAAGCCTACCTCTCGCTTCAGTGGTTGCAGAGCTGTAGGCAATATATTCTTGCTTCCATTGAAAACTTTGCTACACGGCGTTGCTTCTTATTGCTCTAGGAGATTGCTCCTCCCATGAGGAAGATGGAACCAAGTGTGGATTTTCAATCATTTGGATCTCCTACAAAATCAGCATCACAATAATCTATTAATTCTAATTCATCACAGCAATAGGTTAGTCTATAATTCTTTGTAGATGCAAATATCTAAGTATTCTCTTAATGATTGCCTAATGAACAGTCCCTAGGTTACTGTGAAACTTGCTTACAAGATTTACAGCATAAGATAGGTTTGTTCTAGTGCATAACATTGCATACATTAGACTACCTACAGCTTGTGCATAAGGGATTTTGTCCATTTTGGTCTTATCTAAATCAGTTTTTGGGCACATTTCCTTTAAAGTTTTGTTCCTTACAAATAGGAGTTTCTACTCCTTTGCAAGTTCCATGGTTAAATCTCTTTTATAATGGTGTCTATGTGATTATCTTGTGAAAGATATAGTTTCTTAGACTTTCTCTCTCTTTCTATTTTTATACCTAGTACATAATCAGCATTTTCCATATCTTTCATCTCAAAATTACATTAACCAATTTCTGGTTTTATCAACTGTTGTTAAATCATTACTTGCAATCAAAATATCATCCACATACAATGATAAAATAACAAAGGAACTCCCACTATTCAAGCAATATACACAATGATCAAAAGGATTTAGAATAAAGCCTAACTTCATAATGGCATCATGAAAAGGATAATACTACATTCTAGAAGGTTGTTTCAATCCATACAAAGCTTTCTTTAGTTTATAAACCTTATTTTCATAATTTCATTTCCTTCCAGAACATAACCTTCATGTTGAGTCATGTAAATTTCTTCAATGCTAGTCCATGCACTGTCCCCATAAGCGTGTGCATGCCCACGAGGAATCCTGGTAGCCATGTAGCCATTAACCAGGATCACTCCATGAGGGATGAATGGTCTTTGGAGTGCAACGGTAGGCACCGTAGGAGGTAAATACCCCTCCTCAAAGAGGGCTTTAAGCTTTTGAGATTTTGCCAGAAGAAAACATCAGGATGGCTGAAAAATCATACTGTAGAATTTACGTCAACATCACTCAACACAGCCCATTAAGTGTAGGTAGACTAAGCCTACTTTTAGACAATGATAATGTGGCAGCCATGTGTGTTCCATGGCCATACAAGTGTCACCATTATGCGACTGTCACATGTCACTATTATACATGTGATTGCGACATGGCAGCCACGTGTTTTCCACAGCCATACAATCATCAATATATATATATATATATATATATATGTGTGTGTGTGTGTGTGTGTGTGTGTGTGTGTGTGTGTTGTGTGTGTCATTGACACATGTCACGTAATAGCACAAGGTGACATGTGTCATTGTTATATGACTTATGTGACTTGTGTGTGTCATTATTATACATGTGTCACTGGCACATGGCAGCCACGGCTCACTTACACGTGTTTACCATTATACTTTTTTCCAAACGGGTAGTGGTGCTTTTATTTTGAAGAGTATGCTTTTGAAAATTTTTTAGGGTAAATTATGAAGACCTCTCTATACTATGGAGTCAGTGACAATTACCCCCAGAACTTTCACTTCGTTACAATACCCCCATCTGTTAGAGTTCTCTATCAGTTAACTTGGAAAAAGATTCTCATCCAGCTGTTTAAAATTTTTAAATCCCTAAACTACCATTTCGTTATTTATGTTAACATTTTTTTATTCAATTAGTTTTCTAAATAGAGAATTGAAGTCCTCTCGGTTGCTCTTATAGATCCTTGTAGATTTCTGGCTGGATTCAGTATTCAAATGAAATGGTAGAGGTTTCTTTATGATAGATATAAATTTAAGGTTTCGTTTGGTTTTTCTTGGTTTATTGGAGAAAGGAGTAGATAATTTTTATATTTTAAGATGAAGAAAGACATTCATGTCAGTGAAATGAAACAAGAATTTAAAGAAACTTGTTTTTCTATGTCAATGAAATGATTCTTGTTATTTTAGCTGGTTTCGTTTGGAGAAAATGGAGTTATTTTTGGGTCAATTAGAGTTTAAGAGAAAAGAGAAAGGAAAATAAATAAGAAAAGTTGAGGTGGATATTTGGTAATTTAATGCATTCCATCATCTGACTTAACGGCCAAGGGGTATTTGTTGCAAAGTGAAAGTTTAGGGGGGTCTTTGTCATAAATGAAAATTTAAGGGAGTATTGTCACTAACCTCATAGTATAGGGGGTCTGTGTAATTTACCCAATTTTCTATTCAAAAGCATTTTAAAGTAAAAGTATTATATGTACTTAGACACTTTTAGAAGTACCAAAGTAAAGTCTATCCAAACAGCGCCTTATAGTTAAAAAAAAAAATGGCTACTTGGAGAAATTAGTTGACTTAAGGTTAAGAGCTTGATATTTTTGAGATAGCTAGATGTAGAAGGTTTAAAATCGGTTGTTTAAGTAGGGAGGAGCTATCTCCTTTCAGCCTTTAAGGATCCCACCCCCTACTTAATGACTTATTGTCATTTCATCTATATAGTAGTTGATATCACAGGTCAAAAGCACCAGACAGTGACTTGACAATTTACTGATGAACTTTTACAGTCTGGCAAACAGTTTGGGCTTCAAAAAGTCATTGGAAACATTTGACAATTTGTGCATATATGCATTCCCCCATTTAATTCAATCTTCTATAGACTTGGGTTTGAAGTGGTAAATTCTTCAGTGATAATTTAATAGCTTTTTTTCATTCCTCTGTTTTTCATGGTAACTTCCATTTATCTCGTCATTCTTGGAAATCTAATATCTTATTCTGAATTTTCATATTGACCTATTCATTTAATGTTTGTACCATGCTTTCTGCTTTAAACTAATGAGCTAGGAGATCAAAACAAGAATACATCTGGCGGATCTGGCTGTAAGAGAATTAAGGAACTTAAAGGTATAAAGTTTCAGGTAGATTCAAACATTGCAAATGTGTTTACGTGGGTAGTAAAGGTATCACAAGTGGCATATACACAGTTGATTCAAGTTCACCTTTGTAGCATTTGTCTCTTGTAGTAATTGTATTAGATGCATTGAGTTGTAAACCAGAAAAAAAAAAAAAAAAAAAAAAAAAAACCTCTGTAAGGAGAGATCAGTATCCCATTCTGACAAATATAAATGATACAACATCTTAGAGACTTACAATGCGTGCATACTTATTATGAGAAACAGGTTGCTCATTGACTTGGATATGCAGTACATGCCAACAATATGCACACACACACACATACAGAGAGAGAGAGAGAGAGAGAGAACTGGTTTAATATAATTAGTAGATTGTGATGGGCTTTGTACCATTGTTATGTGGTCATTCATTCCATGAGATGATTCAGAGTGGCATATTTTCACTGGGTTCATGCATTCTGGAGTGCTTATGTAAAAATCCACTGTTTGAAAACAGGGGAGGCATACATTTATGTTACACAGTTCAAGGAATTGTATTGAGCAGTACACCTACCCGTAGTCATTTTATTCAACTTAATTTAGTTTTCTGTAACTTATTATGTCTCCAAGTGCATATTTAGTGCCTCAGAAAAAAATTGGTTTTATATCATGTTATAGTATTTCCAAGGAAAAAGATTGAAGTACTATGCGATGATCGTTTTAACCATATGTTGATTCAGACTACGATAGTGTTTTAAACTGAAATGGGCGGGACAGTAATTAATCAAGCAATGGTCACAATCGATTGAAGGCAAGAGGAGTACCCTGAGATCCGATGTTCCCTACTATCAATTGTTTGTTTTCTTCTTTGTAAGCTAATAAATTATACAGATGACTGAAGGCAGGACAGTAATTAATCAAGCAATGGTCACAATCGATTAAAAGGCAAGAGGAGTACCCTGAGATCCGATGTTCCCTACTACCAATTGTTTGTTTTCTTCTTTGTAAGCTAATAAATTATACAGATGACTGAAGGGATGGATCTCAGTAAGCATTAAATTTTGTTCTTGTTGACAACCCTCTGTGCATGGCCTTTTCTTCTATTATATAGCAAGTTTTTGAAACCCAGATGGGTACTCAATCAGACTCTTCAGTCCAATCTGGCCCATCTTTCGCTCTGTCAAGATAGTGCGGGTCAGATCAACCCAGATTCAAACATGATGCTACAACCCTTCAAAAATGATACTTAAAATCATCTTTGCTAGTAAATATTTGCTTTTATATAGATATTTTAGTAAATATAGCATTATTACTGGATTTAATTTTAACCAGATCAAAAGTGGAGTAGATCTAGATTCAATCCGAATATAAATAGATGGCATATTTAAGATCCAAATCTGGATTTGAACTTGGATATTCAGTTTCAGATACTGTTTACAGTTCTACTGGAGACAATTTAACATGGTGATATCAATTGTTGACAGGTTGCCCAAGTTGGTGGGTTCATCATACCGAGGTCCATGCTGCCATTATGAGTGACACTGTAACGAATTATATAAGGGTGCAGGGCTGCAGGCCCTGGATCAGCCTGTCTGAGTTTCAGAAGTCACAATATAAGGGCAAGGCATTTGGTTGAACAGTCGCTTTCTCTTTTTATGATGAAACTCACCATCTAGTAGGATCACTTGTACTTCACAATTTCATGGCAGCAAATGGTTTCTAGACAATGTTTTTGTGGCACAGTGAAACTGAGATTGCAAGGCAATCTAGTAGGGTTACATATAGTTCACATTTACTTGGCAGAAATTGCCTTAGTTCTTCCAGAGGACATCCATCATTTGGCAAAAGATAGCCTCTCTTTTTGCGTTAAAAGTGCAATTTAGAGTAAGCTATGTGCTGAAATGGGCTACGGCAATGTCCATTTAGCCAGTCCAGAGAGCAAGCTACCACTAAACTGAAACAGTGAAACCTTAGCCCTTGGTTTTAGTTGACGGGTTCGGGAGGAGGAAAAGGCCCTTCCTTTGAATGGTTCAGGTAGATTACCAGTTTGTGAAAAGGCTTTAGTGGGCTATTCTGCAAAGTGTAATGTGGTAGGGTCCACTGATGCAAATGGGCCACAAAGCATAGACCATTAATTGGCGTATTTATTTGGATTAATAAAGAAAAAGGGTATAGCCCGTGACTACTAGTCTACTACAGTCTCCTAGTAAGCATTCAATAGATACCAAAGAAGAGTAAGATCAGCAGACTGGTAGAAAATACTGTATTGGGTTGTCTTCACCAATTCTAGAAAATTCATAGATTCCCCACACCCCATACACGACCTTAGGCGCTAAGGCAGGCCTCGGGGCTCTCGTCCATTTGTTTTGGTTCTTTTTTGGCTTTTTCTTGTCACCATTTCTATAGACTCTGGTTTACACTATAGGGTGCTTGTTTGCCTAAAGCGGAACCAAAAGAACAGATTTTACTGAAAAGGGAAATAGAAATTGAACAATCAAGGAGACCCAAGAACGAATTTATTATTCTGAAGCTTTGTTGCCTTTTTTGTTTAGGTAAAAGGAAATGGGTCCCTTGCATGAGTTGGGTAAAAGGTACAGAGAAGGAAATGTCAAAATGCATCTCGTTTTCTCTATAAATTTAAACAAAACAAAGGATTTTTTTTTCTGGTAATAAATGAAAACAGACACTGAAAAACATTTAAGAATCAGGGTTTTTCAATTCAGCCACCCATAAATCCATTGCTTAACGTGAGCTGTTTAATCCAAGGTTTTTAAAACCAAATCGGACAATGAACTGTTCAGGGGTCCGGTTCCCGGGTTGAATGGTCCGAACTTTCAAATCGAATGGATGGCCCATTCTAACAAAAAAAAATTAACTGGGTCAGCAGTTTGCTGACCAAGTTAATGGTTTTTGGCCAAAATGACGGTTCTGGGGTAAAACGGAACCGGTCATTCTTGGTTTTTCCGGTTCGACCATCCGGTCCAGTCCGGATTAGGAAGTTGAATGATTTAATTGCCGATGCAGAAGAGACTGTAGGTAGAGGTGTAAATCGGACCGTGCCATGGGCCGATTTGATATAATATATAATATATTAATATATACATATATATAAACTTTTATTTTCAATTTTATTATATTATTTCATTTTATTATTGCATATATAAATAATTGTATTCATTAAAATTCATATAAAATAAAATTTTAAGATTTTTTAATTTTTTGCCTATTAATTTTTTGTCTATTTTGTTAATTTACTTTAAAATTTTCATTATTTTTTAAAAAATATACCTCTCGTGGCTTGACCCAATTTATGGTCTGGCTTGGCCCAAGGCTCAGCCCGCAAAGCAGCCT